GTGGGTTTGATTTGATTTGATTTGATCAGCGTAGCTGAGCCAAAGTGTATGAGTTGGATAAAGATGTATTTTGAAATAAACTAATGCCACAAATGAATGAGAGCTTGGGGAGTTTGGGTTGGCAATTGGATGGTGTTTGATGGCAGAGGTTAGGCTGGTACCAAGAGTTATCTTGTTTATTCTTTTGTTTCAGCTTTGAAAATCAAAAATGGTTAGGATGAAAAGAACCAGACATCAAACAGTTCCATTTTCTTGTTCTTCCCCTACTCCAACACACACCCCCACTGCAAAACTTTTAGAGGAAACCTCTACTTTTACAGACTGTATATGAGTGCAATGATGAGTCACTTTTTTGTTTACTCTTTAGAACCATCCTTAGTATATATATTGGAAGGGGTTAGATTTTAGGCTGCTTTCTGCCAAGAGCCACCGCAGTACTGCAGCTGACCAGGGCTCTGTGCAAATCTGGACCTGTTTTTAGGCCCTAGGTTGTGACTTCTCTAGGGACATCTTGAGTATACTGAGCATTTTCCTCATGCTAGTGGAGCATGGGCAGTGGAAGAAGCTTAGGTTTGACCAAGCAGTGGAAAATCTCCCAATCAGCTTGATGAGCTTTACAGACACCACAAACACTGCGTACAATCTTGCGTCTTCCTCTGCCTTCAGGTTGGAATGCCTGTAGGAATGGCAAGTCGCACCTTGTCTTAATAGGCTCATATTTTGATGAGAATTTAAAAGTACTGACTCTTAAGAAAAACCTGTTACTTGACATAGAATAAAGCATTTAAAATAATTTTACAATAATTATTTAATACTGTAAAAATTTCAATTGCCAATTATTTAGTCAGCTGAAGAATTCTAGAACAATTATTTCTTTCCATCATGATTTTTAAAATAGAATACATATATAACCACTACTTGTTTTTTGATTTAATAAAAGACTTTTTAATCATCAACTGCCATATACTGGATATAACATAGTACCCCAATGATAACATCTAACAATTATTTTTTAATGGCTTAAAAATAGTTATTCCTGGGGCCCAGTACAGTAACCTAGTGGCTAAAGTACTCGCCTTGCACATGCTGGGATTCCATATGGGAACTGGTGCTAATCCCGGCAGCCCCGCTTCCCATCCAGCTCCCTGCTTGTGGTGTGGGAAACCAGTTGAGGATGGCCTAAAGCCCTGGGACCCTGCACCAGTGCGGGAGACTCAGAAGAAGTTCCTGGCTCCTGGCTTTAGATTGGCTCAGGTCTGGCTCTTGTGGCTGATGGAAGATCTTTTTCTCTGTCTCACCTCCTCTCTGTATATCTGACTTCACAATAAAAATAAATAAGTCTTAAACAAAAAATACCAAACATTTATTCCTTTATTCATTCATTCCTTTAGCATTTGTCAAATACTTTCTATATGAAAGCCAATGTGTAGGTGTCAGAGATGCAAAGTGTATTTGGAAAGACAGTCATGCCTGGAGTTAACGGTCTATGAGAAATATTGAAATTTTATGTTTTTGGTTCCTAGAAGATCTTGTATATGGTATTTTGTTTGTTGTGTAATGAATCAAGAAGTGGCTGAGATTCAAATGTGTTTGGAGAGACTTTGCTTTATATTTCTGGAAGAAGAAAATTGAGATTAAAACATGTCACTTCCTGTTGTTTGATCAGTGTTTGTTGCCAATTCAATGCCCAACCTCTCAGGTATTCATAAAAAATAGTTGAAAACAAAAATAGTGAAAGGGTGAAACAAAGCCCAAGGGAGATGGGAACACTGTTGGAAAGCAGTGTTTCTCAAACTGAGATGTGGGGACTGCATGTTTCCAAGTCCTCTGAGAAGTGTACTTTAAATGCAGATTTTCAGGCCCCTGACTGTAGTTTTAATCTGAGGATTATGTGGTAATCCTAGGTATCTATATATTTTTAGGAAGGTTTATTTATTTGAAAGACAGAGTACAGTGAAGGAGGGAGAGACAGAGAGAGAGAGAGAGATCCTCCATTGTTCATTGTCGATATAGATGCAACCACTAGGGCTGGGCCAGGCCAAAGGCAGGAGCCTGCAACTCCATCTGGGTCTCTCACATGGTGTGCAGGAGCCCAATCACTTGGACCATATTCCATTGCTTTTCCAAGAACATTAGTAGTAAATTGGATTGAAAGTGGAGCAGCTGGGACTCCAACCAGCACTTACATTGGATATTAGTATTGCAGGTAGAAGTTTAACATGTGGTGCCACAGTGCTGGCCCCAGGTGTCTACTTTTTAACTGCCACCATTATGAGTCTTGAGGATACTCAGTTCAGAGAGTACTGATCTCAACGCTTAGAGAATGGGGCCAGGACTGGATGAGTTACTTCAAAGGGTGATGAAGGGGCCAGCAGATATGTTTTCCTTGGTGCCACAGATGGCCTTTGAGAAACACCTGAGGATAAGGATAGAGTTGGGTCAATAGTGCCCTAATTTCAAAACTGAGGGAAGAGTGGATGCCAGCAGGCACAGGCTATAACCCTCACTTGACTTCTGGAAAAATGTGGCTGCAGCTAGATGGAGTCAGAGCATTTCTAGGACAATATGAGGATCCCTAAATGTCATCATTCATTCCTCTGAGAGATTGTCACATTTTGCTGCCTGTTAGAATCATCTGGGAGAGTTTTAAAAACATCTTGGTGTTCAGCACCCCACCCAATACCCAGAACCTTAGCATCTCTGGGGGTGGGACATAGCATCAGTATTTTTTACACTTGATCTTAGCCAAAAGGCCGAGAAGCGATCAGCATCAGTATTTTTTAAGCCCTCAGAGCTTCTGGCATGATGAGACACAAGCTAAGTATTGGGAGTTTTCAAAGCTCCCAAGTTGATTCTAACATGGAGTAACATTTGACAAACCCTAGTCTGTGTGATATTAGGCAAGTTGCTTAACTTCCCTGCACTTTGCATAAATGCAAGGATACTTCAAGAAGTTTATGGAAGGGCCTGGCTCGATAGCCTAGCATCTAAAGTCCTCACTTTGCATGTGCCGGGTTCCCATATGGGTGCCAGTTCTAATCCCGGCAGCCCCACTTCCCATCTAGCTCCCTGCTTGTGGCCTTGGAAAGCAGTCGAGGACAGTCTAAAGCCTTGGGACCCTGCACCCGTGTGGGAGACCCGGAAGAGGCTCCGGGGTCCTGGCTTCAGATTGGCTCAGCTCTGGCCGTTGAGGCCACTTGAGGAGTGAATCAATGGATGGAAGATTTTCTCTGTCTCTGCTCCTCTGTATATCTGACTTTTCAAAAAAAAAGTTTATGGAAAATGTAATTCAAAGATAAGTATACTTTAGTTAGAAGAAATGTGAAAGCATGAATTCAGGAGATCCTCTGAAAATCCATGGGAAATATATATTATGAAAACAGTGATATGACTTAAAAAATGTTTTCGGCAAAGCAACTTTATTTTTAAATTCAATTTTATGTGAGCTTTTTGAAGTACCCTCATACTGGGTAATTTTAAAGGTCTCATTTACCTTTCAACTTTTATGATTCTGTTCTTAAAAATCGTACTAAACTGATTTTTTTTTCTCCTTCCCTTCTTCCCTTTAGAGCCCTCTACCTCCATTTCCTCCTTCTCTTCTACCTATTCTTCTTTTGCTAGCCTGGAATGTTAAGGTATTAGAATATGTCACAATTTAATTAAAAGATTTAATGAAATTTTCCAGGATATGTCATAGAGAAATAAGAGGTGGGATAGTTGAGTTTACCACCTAAGCACCAGTATGCTCAGAGTGTGAATGTGATGGACCTGCGGAGATCCTGCTTTGGAGTGCCAGAAGCCTCACTGTGCTCTTGGGCCTGACCTTGTTAACATGATTTATCCACGATGTAGAGAAAAATGGTATTGAATAAATGTCTGTCAAATTTAGAAATTACGCAAAGTTTAGGAGGGTTAAATAATTGAATACATAGGAGACTTAGGCTCAACTTTGATCAGAAAGTCTTTTCATTAAGGTTATTATAGCTCAAATATCTTGCTCATTTAGTTCTTTCTTTAGTTCAGTTAAAAAATGTTGTGGTTTTTAGTATAGCAATAATAGAAAAACAGATGCATCAGATAGATCCTAGAGTCAGTTGTCCTCTGACTTTGTTGCCATTGAGAAATGTAAATATATTAGAGCAGGCTGGTTTGGAGCATCACACAATAAAGAAGATATCACCCCCCCAAAGTGATAGAGCAGTCAGTATACTACAGGAAAGACTGAAAATGCCCACCACGTAGTTATGGAAGAGAACGCTCAGAAGGTCTAGTGAGCACAGGAGTCGACTTCAGAGAAGCGGGAAGAGTTTCTCTCCCAGATTGACTCGTGAACCTGCAAGGAGATCTTGAGCCTCCTGTTTTTACAAACAGGTATCCCAATCTATTCTGAGAAATATTATCAAAGAACTCATTGTGGTTTTGAATTTTGGCATGGTTTTTAAATGTTTTGTTGCATAGTTACTCTCCAATCTGTATTTTTCTAAAGCCCAGATAATTGAAATTACTTTGAATTTAAAAGCAAGACAGTTAAATGAGGTCAGCTCCACATCCCATTTCCTATATGTCCATTAGAAAATCATACACTCTGACATTTCACACTTTCTTTTCATTTTTAAAAATTCTTAGTTTTGTAAAGAGTTTGATCTGACCCTGACATGCGGGAAACTATGTGTGGCACAAAAAAGCAATTTTTAGCTACTCTGTAGCTGCTGCTCTGGTGTGGGAGCATAATCAGGTGTCTAATGGTGTCTGATCGCCTTCCAGGTCACATGCTGAACAGTATTCAGAAGATGTGTAAAATGGGTCCTGCTGCATAGCCCCTTGCCTACCACACTCTCAACCAATGCCTCCCTTCCCTGCTTCCTGGATATTTCTCCTTAGTGTCTACAACTGAAGGGGATCAGCTAAGAGTGTCTCCTCACAGCATAAACCAAGGGATTTTTCCTATTCTATCGTAGACGCAGAATTTCAATTCGTGAGTGAACATACAAGATTTAGTCATGGGCTGTGAAAGTTCTTCACCAATAGAAGAGACATCTCAAAAAGGTGAGTGCTGGAAAGATGCCTGTGTTTATGAATGAAAAGGAGCAAGTGAGTCAGATTCACGATCTCCCCTTCCTCTTTTTACTGCCATGCTTCTCCAGCTGCCCTGGGTGATTCTGTGCAAAGAATCCTTGCTTATAATGAAGGTGAACTACTGGGGGAACATGGGAAATGACCTTTAGGAAAATATAGCCTTGACTTATGAAATATTATAAAATATTATCTAAGAGATATCTTATGTTTGATTTAATTTCAGTTGAAAGCACACCAGCATTAAGTCTCAATTCAAAATGCAGTGGCACAAAACAAGAAAGAAATGGTAATATATATCTGTTTCTTCAGTGTTCTTATAAGTAGCCATATCCATACCTATGTGACAGTTAGTAGCGTCATTGAATTTTTATTGGATTTGGTAACTCAGTGATTAATTTACTTTTGTAGCTATTCAACACACTACTTTATAAGATTTGCCTCATGTTTTTAAACTGTTCTAGGAAGGATACTTGGATCATTGGAAGAATGCTGGATCATCTGTTCCCAAGAAAACTGCCTTCTTTCCAAATAGATGGCATGCTTCTCTGTACCCTCATATAACTAGAGGCTTAAATATTTCCTTAGTTTGTTTTCCACTGGGTTTTTCTCATACTCACTGGGGTCTAGCCAAAACTCACTTGAATGCTTATGGGCATAGATTCTACCAGGAAATTAAAATAAAAACATGTAGAACTAGGACAATTATATGACTAATTTATTCTCCAACTCTATTCTTTTGTTATCGAGGTTATAGATAATGTTCCCTTTTCTGTTCCACATGTCTGTTGTGGAGGTTTATTAAGGCCTATGACAGAGGGGTTAGGACATAGGGTCTTCTATACTAATTAGTCTGTAATGTTTTCCCTTGGGAACCAGTGTTCTCAATCCCAGCTGAATTGTGCTGATGGGCTAGCAAGCTAATTTCTGAATGGAGGAGGGGACATGGGAAGGTATATCAATGCATTCAAGTTTTCATAAAGATTTTATTTATTTTGAAAGTCAAAATTACAGAAAAGGAGGCAGATAGATTGCTCATCTGCTGGTTCACTCCACAAATGGTCACAACAGCCAAAGCTGGACCAGGCTGAAGCTAGAAACTTCTAGGTCTACCCATGTGGATAGCATGGGTCCAAGTTCTTGGGCTATCTTTTGCTGCTTTTCCCGGGTCTTTAGAGGGAGCTGGATATGAAGTAGAGCTGCCAGGACATAAAGTGATGCCCATATAGAATGCTGGCACTGCAGGCTGTGGTTTTACTTGCTAAGCCACAGTGCTGACCCTTCTTACAAATCTTTAAGCATGCCATGAGAAGAATCTTTCCAAAGTTTCAGCTGAACTAATTCCATAGCGGTACTGTGTAAGCAGAAAGTGAAGACAGCATTTTTTGTTGTTGTTGTTTATGATTATCCAAACTGTTTAAATTTGGCCGAATGTCTTAAGTTTGAGCCAAAAGGCTATTGCCAACTTGTAAAAGTAAATTCTCTGTTTTAGAAATGTTGCATGTCAATGGAAGTATTAGCTTTTTTTTAAGTATTACTTAAAAAAATAATTTATTGAAGTGAAAATCACATAGCAATTGATTAATCATTGTAAAGTGAACAACAAAGTAGTATCTGAGTCATTCACATTGTTGTACAATCACCTACTTCCAAAATATTTTCATCAACTCTAAAGTCAAATCTTTAGTTGGCAGGTAGTTTCTCTCTACTTCTCTCTTCTTCCGTCCACTGGTAACACCCGGTTTGCATTCTGTCTCTTGGATTTATTTACATACATCCATATGTAAATAGAATCATATATCATGTGCTCCTTTGTGTCTGGCTCTGTCCATATTGAAGTACATAATAGTACTTAATTTCTTTTTGCTTTCTTCAAGTATTTCTATTTCTTTGAATGGAAGAGGGGAAAGAGTGTGCAAGAGAAATTGTACATACTTGCATTTGCTGGTTCACTTCCCAAATGAATGCATCAGTAAGGGCTAGGGCAGGTCAAAGCCAGGAGCCTAGACCTTCATTCAGGTCTCCTACATGAGTAGCAGGTACTCAAGTACTTGGGCTATCTTTCACTGGCTTTCCAGGCACATTAGCTGGGAGCTGGGTAGGAAAAGAGCATCTAGGACTCAAACTGGTCCTCATATGAAAGGCTGACATTGCGGGTAGTGGCTGAACCTTCTGCTATTCCACAATGCTAAACCCCTTTCCTTTTTGTTGTTGAATAATATACCATTATATGAAATATGCTATGTTATCTTTAACCAAGCATCAGTTGATGGAATTTGAATTGTTTCCATTTTTGGCTATTATGAACAATGCTGCTATGAACATTCATATATGAATTATTGTGTGAACATGTATTTTCTCTTGGGGATATACATAGCAGTGGAATTCATGGGTCATTGATAGCAACTGAAAAGCATTCAGTCTTTCACAGTTAAGTATAATAATTGTAGTGACATTTGCATATATGCTCTCCCTCAAATTGAGAAAATTCTATCCTATACAAAATTTTTTATGAAGTAGTGTTCAGTTTTTGAGATGATCATATGTTTTTTGTCCATTCTTTTATAATGACATGTTTTATGATATGAAATAACTACATCGGTTGAATTTTGATATAGATTACCTTTTTCATGCCTGAAATAAATCTCATTTGATCTTGGTGTGTTATATAATTTAGATCTTGCTGCTTGCATTTAGTTTGTATTTTGTAGGGGAATTTTGCATTTATATTCCTTGCATCAATATGCAAAAGAAATTACAATATTGATGGAGAACATAGATTCTTTTCTTGCTTTGTCTTCATCTGGTTTTGACATCTGGATAATGCTGACCTTCATGAGGTCAGGATTAACTGAGTGTCAGTTTTTAAGTGTTTGGTAGAATTTATTGGTGAAACTGTCAGGGCTGGGAATTTTCTTTGTGGACAGTATTTTTGGTTTTAGTTATTTTAAGTATTTACTTGTTGTAGATCTAGTTGTAGTTTCTATTTTTTTCTGAGTCATCTTCAGTAGTTTGTGCCCTAGGAATTTCTATTACATTTCTAATTAGCTAGCATTTACTTCTTCAGAGTATTCCCTTAACATTCCTTTTTGTAAAAAATTCCTTTATCTCTAGTTGAATACATCAGTAAAGGTTTGTCATGATTTCATCATAAAGCAGATTCAATGGTGTTTATGTACATTTATCCAAAGATATTTTATACATGTGGATTTTTGCTCATTCAGAAATTTTGGGAAATATTAAAGACAGTTGGAATAAAAATTCATCATTGTTCCACTATGCAGCACTAACACCTGTTAACATTCTCGTAATTTCCCCCCACTTTTTAATGATAGAGTGCAGATTTGTGATCATCCTTAATATTCATTTTTATAGCCTAAAATGTGATTGTTATGTAAACATTTTTCATTTGTTTTAGTGGATAGGCCATAATATACTTAATTATCCTCAGAATGTTGAATCTTTTAAAAACTAACATAAATAACTCTCTAAGGAATTTCTTTTTACAAAACTATTTGCTTATTTTGGATTATTCCTATAATCAGGTGATTAGATCTGAAATGGCTATGTAAAGGGGCTATGAATATTTTGAAAGCTCTTGATAGAAAATTATAGCTATTATTTCTTGATTACTAACTGTGTTCTGGAGAATGTACAACATATGCTACATTTATTTAATCCCTGCAATAGACCTGAGTGAAGTGCTATTATTCCTGTTGTATGGCTAAAGCAGCTCATGCACAGCGAGGCAAGTGCTTGTCAAGGGAGTACAAAATACAGCTGCCAGACCTGAGATTTGAACTCACTCTGTGACATTCCCAACTACCCGCCCCCCCCCCTTTTTTTCTTTTTGCTGTCCATCATTATACCCTTTTATGCTGCCTCCTAGTGTTCCTGCCTAGAAGGGCAGGAAGAACCATGCTTTTATTTAACTTCCTTAATATAAAGTATCTTTAATTGTAGAGTGCTTTTGTAGTTGGCCAGACCATTTCACACATTTTAGAGCTTCACAGCCTTGTGAAGGATTGTTCTCAAATTTTAGAAAAGGAAAGTAAGACTTTGAGAGGTGAAATGTTTGCCTGGAGAATGCACAGCTAGTAACTGACAGTCAAGGAGAGCTTGTTTCCTGTTTCTAATGGTCTGACCAGTGTTAAGCAATTTTTTTCCCCTTGCTTGGTGTTCACTTCTACCACAGAACTCTGGTCCTCGGATGTCATGGTGGTTTAAGATAAAAACCATATATAAATTAAGACTGTTGGGGGTTAGTGTTGTGGCATAGCACAGGATATCTGCATCCCATATTGGAGTACCTCTTTCAAGTGCCAGCTATTCTGTACTTCTGGTCCAGCTTCCTGCTGATGCTATTGGAAGGCAGTAAATGATGGCCCAAGATCTTGAGATCCAACGACCTAGATGGAAAGCCTGGATAGAGTTCCTGGCTCATGGCTTTGTCTTGGCCTTCCTCTTCGTATTGTGGACATTTGGGGAGTGAAGCAGTGAGAGAAAGGTCTTTGTTTTACTCTATCTCTTTCTCTCTTTCTCTTCTGACTTTTAAATACAAAAATAAATCTTTACAAAATTAAGACGATCCCCTTCCTCAGGGATTTCCACTTTTCATGTAGAGAAGCAGTATTGATTTTGTGTTACTATTGAGTGCTTGCTATGTTCATAATTTCTCACCACAACTCTTGGAGGAAGCTTGGATCAGTTTCCTTTTACAGATGAGGAAACTTTGACTTATAGAGAACTGCCCAAAGTTACGTACTTGTTGATGCTCAGCCTGAATTGTAACCAGATTAGCAAATTCTCAAGTGCAATTCTTTATGCATACACTCCCCTGACTTGGAGAATTGAGATTTACCCAACATTACAGAAATTAAACTTTGTAACTTCAATCTCCTGAATCTCACTTTGCACTTAAATATGTCAGTCAATTTTGAATTAGTAATATATTGCCTTTTTTCCTCTTGTTT